TCACATTTCTGAAGCATAAAAAGGGATTTAATTTAAAATATATTCATAATAACCACAAATTATTACACAATTTTTCAACAAAGGTCTTATCTGCAGCAGAAAGGACTGGCTTTAATCTGATCTTTCTATTTCTAATGGCATGTGTGTTTTCAGAATGGGTAAATTGCTTGTGGATGCACAACTGAACTCAGTCCGAGGTACTCTGGGCAAAACTGAATGAATGAAGCTAAAGGAGCACATCTGAATGCTCATGTGTACGATACTCCTACAGGCAATAAAATACCAAGCACCGCAGCCATAGGGTTAGGAATTCCGGGTTCTACTGCCACACTGATGATCTCTCACATGGCCCAAGGCATGTGGCTATCTCACTCTTTTCAAATGTGATTCAGAATGCTGTCAAGAATTACAGCATTCTTCTGGAAGACAAAGAAATATGTATAAAATGCACCATGATCTTCAAGAAATATATTGCAAAAATAAATAGTGTTACTATTTACCAGAGTACAAGGAAAGCCATGGGGTTCAGTAGTGCCATATGCCGGCTAAGCCTCTGTTTTTGATTACCTAAGAGACCCAATAGGTAATGACAGAGCAAGCTAATGATAGAATAAACAAAATTATCTTCAGATCCTAAAAGTATCTATCAACTCAGGCCTAAATCTTAGAATCTGGCAGTGAATGTTTAGTAACTTTATTGATGTTTAAGCTAATATAAATCCTAACATCAAAATTTGTTAAACTTTACTCCTTATACTTTAAAGAACATAAGAGTTACATAGGTTTACATCAATATAGGCAGATGATACAAACCCACTTTCTTTCATCTTTTGACACCCAACTACATAGGATGTGGAAACATTTTATCAAGTAGACAATCTGCTTTGTCAATAGCTAGTAAACCAGTTTTGTAAACTCGTTCAGCTGAAAAAACAATACACTTACATCATATTGGAAAAGAAATGACTTCAAGATTTCCAAGCAACACAGCTATTTTTCAAATCTGAACTCCCCTGCTGATCATTAGAAATAGTTTCAAATGTCCCATTCTTGGCTTTCATTGATGCCAAACCCTGGACAAGTCTGCAACAAGGTTGTACCTCCAACATGTCGTTTCTGCAAAGGGTGCTAAATAATCTGTCTTCCCTTTCTCTTAACACACTATCATTCAAATCAGTTTCTGATCTCTCCCAAATCAAGCTGTGTTTATGTTACATAGAACCCACCCACCAAACCCACTGCCGCTGAGTCAATTCTGACTCCTAGTAACCCTACAGGACAGAGTAGAACTGCCTCAGAGAGTTTCCAAAGCCGTAAATCTTTAGGAAAGCATACTGCCTTCTTTTTCCCACGGAGTGGCTGGTGAGTTTGAACTGATGATCTCTTTGGTTAGCAGCCAGGATCTGTAACCATTGAACCACCAGGGCTCATGTTACATGTATGTATGCATTAAACAATGAAGGCTGAAAGTACCATGGACTGCTAAAAGAATTAATAAATCTGTCCTGGAGGAAATGCAGCTGGAATGCTCCTTGGAAGAGAGAATGGCCAGACTTTGTCTCACCTACTTTGGTCATGCTGTCAGAAGGGACCATTCCCTGGAGAAGGATGTCATGCTTGGTAAGGTGGAGGGTCGACGAAGGAGGGGAAGGCCCTCAACAAGATGTATTGACACAGTGGCTGCCGCGATAGGCTCAAGTATAGTAGGGATTGCGGAGCTGGCACGGGACCGGGCGGTGTTTCATTCTGCTGTGCATAGGGTCGCTATGAGTCGGAGACGACTCGACGGCACCTAACAACAACAACGACAACAACATATTAAAACAAAAACCAAAAAAAATTCCTTACTGCCATCGAGTTGATTCTAACTCACAACAACCCTTCGTTGGGTTGCTAAGGCTGTAAATGTTTACAGAAGCAGACTGCTTCATCTTTCTCCTGCAGAGCTGTTGGTAGGTTTAAACCACCGACCTTTTGGTTAGGAGCCAAATGCCTTAACCACTACACCACCAGAGCTCCTTATGTTATATAGAAGAGAGATGAAATTCAAAGTTATTTTGCTCCTATCTCCTGCAGGCTAATAAATGAACTCAAATTCATTACTTTGACCGCATTTACTCTTCTGTGTCTAGAACCATTGTGGGCCAAACCCTGTCCTAAGTTGAGGTGTGCATGTATGAGGCAGATGGTGAATACAGTCCAGCCTGGTGCTGGGTCAGCACAGTGCAATGACATTTGCACAATGAGTTAAAAAAAAAAACTGGAGAGTAAGAACTAGCTCACTGATGACTATTTCAAGTGGTGGTGGTTTCTCTTACACAATTCCCAAAGATCTAAAATGCTGATGAATGAAGGACAGATTTTTTGTGTTTTCTTTCACCAAGTACCTAGAAATATTAAAGTGGTAAGGTAAACTAGAAATAAAACACAAGTCCAGTATGTTTTAAACCAGATTTAAGTTTTTTTTTTTTTTTTTTTTTAATTCAAACTGACCCAAAGCAAAACTTACATTACAAAGGAAGAACAAAATACATTATGATAATAACACACGAGGAGTTACATGAAAGCTAGATTTTGGGCAAACATTCTCATCCCAATCACATTCTGGGCTAATGAGCAATTTTGCAGAAAGTTAGACTCTCGATTTCATGTGGTCCACTCTGGTAATTAAACTACACATTCTTGTCTCTTAGGGGTGCATCTGACAAATCATACTAGTCTCCCTCACGCTCCAGATGTGCACACTTACTACTGCCAGAACACTGAATTCTCTAGTGAAAATGCTGTTCCAAGCATGACTGATAATGGATTAAAAACAAAATAGTCAACTCTTTCAAACTAATAAGCATGGGTTATTATTCTGTAGTAAATAGTTTAGAAATATGGAAATTAAATAATCTAAAAACACTCTTACTCTGCTGTACATTTATAAACACAAATATTTACAAAAAAAAAAAAAAAGGAAAAAAACCTCTTTTCAAAAGATGAGGTTTGCATTCATTAATGATCATAATCTTTTGTGAGTTGGTTTCTTTGGTGTATTTGCCAAATATATTTTTATAAAGTTTTAGTCACAGGCTTAAATAATAAATTTAAAAGAAATACAGAAGAATCAATAACAAATTAGTTATCTTGTGAACATTTTAGTCAAGATTCTGGAAAAACCAATCAGCTGATCTTCTGAAAATACTTGTTTTCTCTACTCATTCTGTGACCCCAGAATGCTCCTTTGTCAACCAAATTCAAGCACAGACCTGCACATTCAACACTGTATTCCACCAATGAGCTACTATGAGACATTTTAGATACTGTTAAATATAATGTGATTGGTATTTTTATTAACAACAAAATAAAGCATTTTTAGATAAATCAAACCTCAAACAATAAATAATGGAATTATACACTTCTTCATTAAATAGAAATTTCAATTCCAGGAAGAGCACTCATAATTTTTTCTGAAGTCACAGCAGCAAAACAGAACAAAGAATTTACCTTAATCTCATCTTTTTACTTTGAATTCCCTGACTCAAACTCAGTGGCTATCTTAGTTTGGAAACCTTTTTAATGGTTAGGGAAAGAAAATCATCTGAAACTAATTGAGTAAATGAATACACACATGTGAGGGAGTAAGCCTGTGTGGAGGTAACATTAGTATTTCTGCTCAGAGTACAAGACTCCCAGGTTCCCTCCTATCTCATCAACCTGGGGCTGGGATTTTAAGAAGTTATACTCAATTTATTTCTGGGTATGCCATGTCCCTGATACTGCTAATGTGTCACAGCCCTGACCTGGGTATTGTTTAAAGAATGAGAACACAGTTCTGCTCCTTTCTTCCTAAGAGGCTCTTTCTTGGAGACAACCTTTTAGAGATATTTAAAAGAGCAGACCATCCATTCCTATCAATTAGGCTCAAGTTACAGTTTGGAGATGGTTATAAAACTAGCCAGACTCTGGATGGCTGCCTACAAAAGAGTCCATGGACCACATTGGCAATCCTCCAGATCATTCTTTTACTGAAGCTGCCCATTCTTCAGACATCTGTGCCCTGCCTTGGCACAGCAAAACAGATACTCCATGCTACAGTTCTTCTGCATCCAAGAGAACACAGTTTGTGCTTGGCAAACCATTACTGCTGGCTCTGAAAACAGGCGAACTTAGAGCAGACTCCTCCTATTTCTGATTTTAGCTATACTTCTCAGTTGAAATAATTTTAATCTTAATGACTTAAAACCAGACATTCAGAGAAGAGAAGCCCTTCATCTTGTAAATGTCTGCTAGCAAATTTATCCCTCGTGTGTAAATATTTTGATGTTTGCCAAAGCACTAACGATACTGGCCATTTGAGGAGGTTCTTCGAAAGGTTCCTCTAAAGCTAAGCCAAATCAAGCACTGAACACATTTCCAATGGCATCATTTTTGATCTATGATGCTTCTGGAAACTTTTCCATGACACAGACACTTTATCATATCCATGTTTACCCTGCAAACATATGCCCAATCAACCCAGGAAATAAAATCACTCTCTTGTAGAGCTTCACTGTGTAACCTCAAAACAGATAGGAAATGTTTAATTGGTATACCAGGAATTAACCAGACTTACATATATCCATCCATTCGAAATTTAATCCCTTAAAGATATTTTTTTAACTGGGGAAGAAAAGAAACACCATGAAAATATCCCAAATTATTTAACTGCTAAAGTCAAATGGTTTAACAATAGTTGGGGCTATTTTTAGGGAATACTCTACCACCAGGATATGAAATTTTCTGTCCAAAGTGAAATAAAAAGCAAAGCTTAAAATGGAAATGGCAACTGACACATTATGGTTCTGCAATGAAAATTAAAGTGGTGGTTCCTGTTCTCACGGGCATGTCAAAGCTGGCTGTGGAATGACGAACACCAAAGGAAATAATGGATAAAATATACCAGAAAGAGTATTGCACAGGAGGCACTGTTTTAAAAACAGAATGCACTGGCTTTATAAAGTTGTCTTCTTTTCCGTTAATTTTTTTGAAAGCACAATTCAGCTAGAGACAGAAGTTGAGACGCAAAGTCTCCGGTAGTGTACTACGGTTGTTAAAAAAAATAAGTTAAAAACGAGAGCACATCGACAGGAAAGCAGAGGTACTGGATTTATGTTGTCTGAAAGCTACATCAATTAGGAAAAGAACAGTTTGAAACAGCCAATTTGCACTCATTAAAAATGAATGAGGTGACAGCATCACTTCTGGAATTTCTCAGGGCATCTGCCAATATAACCCAGGACCCCCTGGGTGAAACAGGGCCTCCAAACGGTACTTTAACAAGTGCTTTGCTGGTTTAGAATGCACATCAATAAAACCAGAAATAATTTGGAAAGGGTAAGTTCTCTACTCTGAACCTGCCTGTTTCATTTTAGAAAAATGATTTTTTCCAAATGCAGTATTGTATAGAAAGCTTGGACCTCGTAAACTTGGACCAAGAAACCAAATTAAGACCTTCAAGCATGTGGTGTGTGTGTTTATATATATAAAAACCCCTCCCCTACAATGAAAACCAATCAAACAAACAAACAAAAAACCTAAAAGTGTATACCTGCTTTCTGACTTCACAGCAAATCAGAAATTGCATAGGATATACTTTGTGCAAGGCAAAAAGCCTTTTAAGTATCTGGAATATAACTCCTAATCTCGCTCACAGTTCTGTGAATATCAGATATCATCAAATTTGTGTTTTAAGTAGTCTTTCATGACCTTGGCAATTGGTAGTTCATCAAGTAGCTTTAGGTTTTGAAGGCCTATACATTGTCGAATTTTAATTCGGCACAGGTCCTGCAAGTTTCTGGGCTGTCCTAAAAAGACAGAAAAAAGAAAATGTTACAAAGCTACAAAGCATAACATTTAAGGCGAGCTTTTAGGTTCTGAAAACAACTACTTACTACTCTGGGGAGTGACTTTACACGCAAAGGACCGGACAGACATCAGTTAAAGGAAATGGCCTACGTACTTTCCTGGGATGTCTCATGTGGTTCTCCCCCACCCCCACCCCCCATTTTACAAATGAGGATACTAAGAATCAGAGATTTAACTAAACTGTTCCATGTCAGACATTCAAGTAAGGTGCTAGATTGAAACTAAAACCAGTTCTTCTGATTCTCAGCCCAGTGTTGTCTCTGTTATGAATCAGGAGAATTCCATTTTCATCTAGGCTAGGCCTCTCATATGTTGGGTTAGCCTATGTGAATAACTGGCTGTATTTCTCTTGGCCATGGTTTCTCCATCTCAAGTGTGAGTTAGATGCTCTCTACTGTGACCTTCCTTTCAGATTTGTGTTAAGGACATTGGAGCCTAGGCACATAAACAATCTCTGGGAGCTTTCCCAGACTACAACTGCCCACCTGCTCACTGTGGCCCCAGATGCAGATGGGGGATGAGGAGAGAGGTAGAGTGGGGAGGAGTTTGCAAAAGCACTAAGCTACTCCGAATCTATGCCTCTGTAACTTCAAAGCCTGACCACCTGCCAATGAAAACCCTGCTAAAACTTAACACAAAAAAGAAAAATTATAAAATCTTATTTCCTTCATTGTCAAATACTTTGACCAAAACAATACAGATGACCACAAACAGAAACAAAATTTTTCAGCAACGATACTTCAACAGTGTTTGGAATCACATAAATTATGCCTCCAAATTAAACAACAGTAATAACAAAAACCAACATATACTGAATACTTCTCTGTGCTATGTATTGTTACAAGTTCTTCACATACAATAATTCCTTTAATCCTTTTATGAGGGATCATATCATTACTCCCATTTTACAGATTCCCTGAGTCTCAGAGAGATGAAGTAATGCACTGAAGTCAAGTAGAATGCCACACTTCAGCAGTTCTCAAACTTCTTGGTCTCCCCTTTACACTTTTAAAAATTAGGATCCAAAAGAACTTTAGTTTATGTGGTTTACATCTCTCAATATTTAACATATTTCAAGTTAAAACTGAGAAATTTTAGAAACAGTTATTAATGCATTTAAAAATAACAAAAATAAGCCCAGCTAGATGTTAACATAAATAACATATTGTGATGAAAAATAACTAGATATCCCAAAACAGACAAAAACATCTGTGAGAAAAATGGCATTCTTTCACAATTCTACAAAGTTTTTAATATCTGGTTTAAAAGAAGATAGCTGAATACTCTATATGCTTCTGCATTCAATCTGTTGTGATAAAATCATAATATATAGTCTGTGGAAAACTCCACTTATGTTCATGAAAGAATGAACGTGAAGAAGGATTATCAGTATTACGAAAATAATTTTGACCTCACAGTGACCCTGAAAGTGCCTCAGGGAAATCCAGGGGTCCCCAGACCACACTTGGAGAATACTTTATCCCTTATTCAAATTATAATTGTTTATAGCAGCCAACGATATTCAAAATTAAGTAATTATTCATAAATGCAATGGCTCCTTAAAACTCAGATTTCTGATCTGTCAGGGCTCTATGAACACATGCTTTCCAATACAGTTACTCAATGTGTGGTCTCTTAACAGAATCACAAGAGTAGCTACTGCTTTCCTGGAAATCTGCTAACTGGGGGGATTTGTATCCAGATGTCTGTACCAGGAGCCACATGGACACAACACACACACTGATGTGTCTCTTGGCATGGTTTTGCCATCTTCATCTTTCAGATCTCTGCTACAAATGCACTTCATCAAGGAGAAAAAGGTCAGGTTCCCCACTAGGTAATCTCAGAGCTCCCCTCCTCTGTGGCACTTACCAAGAGTTCACATTTACTTGGGGTGATGTGCTGATGCCCACCTTCCTCTATGTATGACATATTCCATAAGGGCAAGACTATTCCTAGCTTCCACTGCCAATATAAACTCAACATCTGACACGGGACTCAACTAAAACTGGCTGAACAAATGAATACTTAAAACGTTTGCCCTTTAAAGTGCAAAAGGGTCAACTTGTTACAAAACACAACAATATCAATAGCAAATCATTTTCATCATCTGTTTTGAATTGTTTTTCATAACCATTCAGGGACTATACCTTTATGAAGAGAACAAGTTATCACTGTCAGTTTTCAATAAGTGCTTACATAATTTGATCTACAAATGCAAACAAGAATGTGAATGACAATGGAAACTTCTTTTTTTAAAGTATAGAATTTGATTTTCCTAATAGATGGCAGATTCTTTACAAGTATAATTTTAATAAAATGATCAATCATAATATATTCAGGTGAAAAACAAATGTGGATAAAACTGACATATATGTACACATAAATGAAAACATATCATCCAACAAAGAGGTAAAAATGAAATTATTGGAATTTGCTTAGCTAAGTGAAAGAGAAGAGATGGAATAAAAGGCTACCTATGAGGAGATCTTGTGATCCAGTCTTGGATCAGACTATACTCTCAAAAAAAATATCCACAACTATCTCCTGTACCTCATATTCCTTTTACAATGTGACTAGACATTCCTGTCATTAAGAAATGGGGGTCTGTTTCCTCACCTTTAAACTGGGTGGGCTTGTGATTATGGGGAAAGTGATGCTAGGTGACTTCCAAGGCTAGGTCATAAAAAGTGATACAGCTTTTACGTGCCTCTTAGGACACTCACTCTTGGAACACAGCCACCATGCCACAAAGTAGCCTAAGCAGCCTATAAAAAGGAACTGAGGTCATTCTGAACAGTCCTGGCTGAGCTCCCAGCCAACACCAACTTACCAGCCATCAGAGTGAGCCAAACTGCACCAGACGACACTATGTGAACAGAGATGAGTTGTGCCTACTGATTCTAGACCAAACTGCATATATGTGAGTAAAAACAATCAACTATTGTCTTACGCCATTATTTTGAAGCATTAGATAACCGAGTACGATTCTGGGATTGAAAGTAGGGTGCTGCCATAACAAAAATCTAAAATATGTGGCTTTGGCACTGGGAGGAGGCAGTGGGAAGAAGCTGGAAGGACACTGAGAAAACTACTAGTGAAAACCTTTGAGGCAAGTGTTAAGGGGAAGCCTAAAGGGATTTGAAGAGGGTAAAAGGCCTTTAGTGAAGGAAAGTGAGGGAAAGAAAATTTTAAAAATGTTACTAGAAGGCAGAGGAAAGAGCACTCTTCTTGGTTTAAAGTTTAGTAATACTGTCACCTGTGGTAATGTGGAAAATTGCAAAAGTCTTAATGACTTTAATTATCTTGTTAAGGAGATTTCCCACACAGAATATTGGAAGTATCACTGTCTTCTTCTAATATTCTGTGATAAAATGGAAGAGGGTAAGGATATGCTTAATAACAAACCAATATAAACGAGCCAAGACTTCCCGGAGTCAAAAGTAAAATTGTTTTTCATTCCAGGCAAAGAATTCTCAAACTCAGGAAAGACTTCAGGTCAAAGATCAAATCCAGGGTGAACCACAGGATCTCTTGTTAAGACCTCAGAACAAGCTAACGTGGTACCCCACAGAGCCCTCAGACTGACAAAAGTCCTTGTAAAGGCATGCTTCACAGATCCTCTTCATTAAACAGTATGGCTTTGAAGAATATTGAGGGCATTGTCCCACAACAATATCACAGGGAGCTCAAGGGTAAAGAAGGGCGTTAGTCTGAGTATATCATCGATTGATATACAAAAACGTACAAAGTTCTTAAAATCAGCTTTGACTGAAAGGAATAGAGACAGTACAAAATGTAGAGGCTTCTGGACCCTCAAACTTCTGTGGGCAGAAGCAGGCTGAGAAAACTACTCAAATGCAAATACGGGCTACATATTTATAGAATCATAAAGAGCTACCAAGGACACTCCCAGGACTGAGCTCTAATCAAGAACTGGCAACATGTGCCTAGCCGGATTTCAGAACTGCTACAACAACAAAGGGACGAATACCTGCTGTGTGCTTCCCATCTCCCTGCTTTTTGAATGGGAATGTCTACAGTGGTTACCCGCACCTGTCCCACCACCATATGTTGGGTCTGTGGGGAACAAGTAACTTGTCCTTTTAGTTTATAGCTCTTCTGGACTGAAAAGAACAGTACTATAAGAGCTGTTTTTATAGAATTACATGTAAGATGTACACTTTAGATGTTTACCTGTGTTTTACTGACTATGCAAAGGCATTAAGCTGTGTGGATCACAACAAATTATGGATAACACTGTTAGGAATGGGAATTCCAGAACACTTAATTGTGCTCATGAGTAACCTGTACATAGACCAAGAGCAAGAAGCAGTCATTCAAACTGAACAAGGGGATACTGCGTGGCTTAAAATCAGGAAACGTATACATTAGGGTTGTATTCTTTCACCATATTTATTCAATCTGCATGTTGAGCAAATAATCCAAAAAGCTGGACTGTAAGAAGAAGAACATGTCATCAGGATTGGAGGAAGCCTCATTAACAACCTATGATACACAGATGACACAACCTTCCTTGCTGAAAGTAAAGACCTGAAGCACTTACATGAAGATCAACAACTACAGCCTTCGATATGAATTCCTTCCTCTTGAATCTATGAAAAAGTAATGATCCATGACTTCCAAAGCACAGAAGGTGACACAGCTTCTGCCTGGCTCTTTTGGGATACTCACTATTGAAACATAGGGATAAAGGAGAGGAAGCAGCCCAGTGACAGGCCCATGTGGAAAGGCACATGGCCCCAGTGAGCTGCCAGGCAACAGCCAGCATCAACACGCCCACTACGTGAGGCAGTCATCCAGCTGAGATGTCCCAGCTGATACCACACGGACTATAGATGAGCTGTCCCCATTGAGCCTCCATGAATGAAATAATATTTGTTGTCGTTTTAAACTACTACCTTTCAGGATTGTTTCT